TCAAATGCAGATGAAAGCCGATTTGAAAAGGTTGCTGCCACTTAACATTTGCATAAATCTTTTTGACATTTTTTTCCCTTCAAAAATATTTCAAAAATGAGGAACATCATGATTAATAGTAGTTTCAAAAGCATTCTTCATTTTGATGATCATCTTGTTTTTATCATTTAAAAAAGAGTAAACTATTCGATAAAAATAAAAAATAATTCTTAATAACTAACCTCTCAAAATGAATGATGAATCTAATATATGTATATATATATGCAATGATTATAATATATAAATTTAACTAATCAAATCATAACATTAATTGAATTGGAACATAGCATTAAATGCTCCTAAAAGGGGACAGAAGGGTAAGTTGGACATTTTCCACAAAAAGTGACATTTTTGATAATATATATATAAATTTAACTAATCAAATCATAATATTAATTGAATCGGAACATAGCATTAAATGCTCCTAAAAGGGGACATGAAGGGTAAGTTGGACATTTTCCACAAAAAGTGACATTTTTTATAAAATTAAGTGCACATGCAAATTTTTTATGTATTTTCAAAAAAAGTGGCATTTTTTATAATTCCCCTTTATTATATTTTGAGGGTAGTGGGCCTACTTTGCCCTAAAAGTTATGTACGAAAATTGGGGATAATTTTGAGTTGCAAATAGGAAAAGTGGTTTGAGTTTTTGTGTATGTGTTTTTTTTCCCTAAAAAAAAAGAAAAAAAGAAAAGAAAAGTCAAATACATATTGTTTTAGGTCTGTCCTTGTCCCTGATTAATCCCATACGAGCAGTTGAGGATTCAATCGAATTATCCGCTTTATCATGGTTGGAGCCACCTGCGTGCTTACACTAAACTTTGGGCCAAAACCCAATCCCCTTTTTCTTTTTTTTTTCTTTTCATTTTTTTTAAGCTTTGGCCCTTCAATTGTTTACCGTAAATATTCTAATTTGCCTCAACCCAAAATGAAAAAAATGAAACCCAAGAGAAAAAAAAATTAGGGAATGTTAGTTACGTTACATATGTAATGTAGTTGTAAAATACAATTTCAAAATTAAGAAATTAGGTTTATTATTTCAAAAATCAAATCTTAATTAAATAATTAATCAAAAAATATTTTATTAACTAAGTATATTAAGGTCACAATGTTATATGATTTATGGTCATAGTTACGTACTAGTCACAATTATAGAAGTCACAGTCATAAATCAAATTAATGGGTTACGTATTATTTCTCAATCATAAATTTCAAATTTTATAGGTCACAATTTCTTTATCGATCATAGATTATAAAATTAATAGATCACGTATTAATTTTAGTCACGATTTATTATCAATCACAAATTGTCTAATTAATATATCAGTATTATTTTTCAATCACAAATTTTATAAATCGCAATTTATTTCACGATCACGAATTATCAAATTAATTAGTTTCAATTATTTTTAGATCACAAATTATTAAATTAATAGATAATAGCTTAACGAATTGTGAGTCATGATTACAAATTTAATCAAAATTTCACATTTTTTAGATCATATATTATTTATTAGTCACAAATTATATATTTCATTGGTCACATATTATTTACTAGTCACACGTTAATCAATTTATTAATCACAATTACCAAATAACTGGTTACAAACACCCCATCCCACCCTACGCCAATCACAAACATAACCACCACCAACAGTAATACCACCTTAAAATCATTGCCCAACAACCACAAAACCAGACCCAAAATAAAGAGGGCATCAATCTTCAAAAATTGAATCACTCCAATAACAACCGCACATTCAAAATATGTAAATTTTTTGACAAGCAACTATTGATGATGGTCGTACTGCACTACATCAAGGTTTTGGAAGTGGAGGCATCAACGTAGCTGTTGATGTAGTTGCCATCTCATCCTAGTCTGCAACATGAAGTTGGGTTTAGAAATTGAAGTGGCATAGAATTTCAAGAAGACGATTGAAGATTTGCTTTTTCGTTGAATGATTAACACACATAGATCACATAAGATTTCCGTCTCCATCGTTTAAATCAGCTTTTTGATGTGACTTCTTCTAAAATCGCTTCTGGAATAGGAAGTACTTCTAAACATTAGTTTTCAAACAAAAATTAAGTTAGTTTTTTTTTTTTTCCAAAAACTCTTCTATAGGAAGTAAAAGCAAAAGTTATGCTACTCAGACCCTAATTTAATAAAAATATGGAATTATAACTTGATTTTTGTATAAATAAACTTTAAACTTGATTTTTGAATTTGAAACTTAAAAAACTTGCCACCATGTAATCTCCACAAAAAAGGGGAACATTACATACATAAAGTAGGTATGACATACAATTTCAAAATAAAGAAATTAGGTTTATTATTCAAAAATCAAGTCTTAATTAAATTCTATTAATTAAATAATTAATAAAAAATATTTTATTAATTAAATATAATAAAGCTCACAACATTACACAATTTATGGTTATAGTTACGTTCTAGTCACAAATGTAGGCATCACAGTCATAAATTAAATTAATGGGTTGTATATTATTTCTCAATCACAGATCACAAATTTTATAGGTCATAATTTCTTTATCAACCATAGGTATCAAATTAATATGTCATATATTATTTTTCAGTCACAAATCACAAATTTTATTGGCACACACAAATCTGAGAAGATTTCCTTCTCCATCTTTTGAATCAGCGGCATTGAATGATAACATTGCTTCGCAACGACTTGCTGCTCTCAGAGAGCTACGCGACGATGTTGTGAATGATTGATTGCCATTTCAATGATGCCTTCGATGAAGTATGAGGTAAAATAAAGAAGAGATAAGGGAGAGATATCCAACCCTTGTCCATTTAAGTGCATGTTTGGAAAATACTTTTAGGTGTTTATAGGTTGTGAGTCCAATAGAAAATGTGAATGATAAACAAATAGTGAATTCTACAAAATGTATGATCTTAAAATATATTGGACCGGCTTAAAAAAAAAGGCTTTGAAAGAATGCTTTATATATTAGGAAAAATTCATATATAACCCCTGTTTGAGCCACATTATTTTCAAAAAAATACATTTTTCAACGATGATTTGACATCATTTCAACAACATATTCTTCAATAAAATAATTTTACACACAAATTTAAAACTTTTCCTTATTTTTAACCATACATTTCCCTTTGATTTGACATCAATAATGCATTCCCTCCC